TCATCAACAAACTTCGGCATCGCACCCGTGCCGTCCGTCAGCAATGCGAACGCCTTCCCTCGTGGCTCACAAGCCTTCGGACTACCTTCACCTAATGGCCTACCATCAACTTTTTCGCCATTCGGTCTCCCACTTTCGTCGCCTCGTTCGCGCGCGAGTGGTCTCCCTCCATCGCATGCCTTGATACCCGATCAGAGCTCAGAAGGTTCCCTGGCTCACGATCACCCGCAGCATTTCCCGCATCGCGCTTTGTCGCCTTCATCGACCACACTAGAGGCCGCTAGGGCCGGTTAAAGGGACGAACTTAAATTCCCTCGTATTCTCACAGTCCGCATGCAAGCATCTACAGCACAAATCTGCAAGTTATATATATATCTGTACTTACCACTCCACGACATGATTGACATCCCTCCATTTCTCATTGATCGCATGGTTTTCCCCAGAGCCCACTTTTTCGGACTGTCAACTTCGCCGTCGCCTCCAATTTTTTATTCTTCCCCGTCTCGCAACCATTAATCGCAATCCTCCATTCTACATACTCACAATCGGGCTGTTTTCTTCTTCGTCTCTGCGTTCGTATCATTTGCTCCCACAGATTCAACTATCCTATTGCTCGCACGTCAACCTGCTGATATCTCTACTATACTAGTTTACCACTTGTTGTTTTAGGTACCTTCGAGTTCTTGTTCCTGCATTGACTCGTGGCTTGCATTTCGCGTTCATCTCATATTTCGATTCTGCATACCACCTGTTTTCTGAACTTCGGGTTACCGCCCAGCATTTTCTCGACATTCTCATCTACACGCGTTCCATACGCACGTTATGTATACTACCGTGAATGGTTTGATGCTGCTGGATTGTCAGAAATATAATTCGTCTACACACGTGCGGATTTATTCACTAGCTTGGACCTACTTGAGAATGAATATCAGCTGAAGTTGAACGGTCACCGGTCATATAACACCGCCATCATGGATACTGATTTCGACGAAACATATGTCCTACTTCTCCTCGCAGACTCTAATCTACCCACGGGCTCATTCGTCGCGTCCTCTGGGTTCGAGTCCTATGAAACGCATGGATTCTTATCTCTTCCATCCACATCAAATGCGGGAAAGGGAAGAGCAGCTACGGCGGGCACAGTCGCCTTCATTCAAGACAGCCTGCATACCTACGCCCGAAGTGCTCTTCCATTTGTTTCAGATGCCCATCGCACAGTAGATGCATTCAAGAATCTCAAGGGCAAGCCAGACATCGGCCATGACGCTACAATCAAGAAATTGCTTGAGCTGGACGAGCTGTACGAAACCATGACACTCAATCATGTAGCTAAGCGCGCCTCGAAAGCCCAGGGGGTAGCACTCCTCACACTATACACAAAAGGGTTTGCTCGCCCTTCAGGCCCCAGTGATGAAGACCATCTCTCAAAGAGCTTGACCGTTCTTATCGATCGTCTGAAATTGATGGTTCGCGGAGAAGAGACGCATGGCCATCTACCCATGTGCTGGGGCGTGCTGACTAGTACTCTTGGGATATCACTTTGTATGTTTGATATTCGAATCCTCGATATGAAATCATAATTGTTTTTAGTGCGAGCGCAGCACCTTTTTCTATTTCTCCATGCACGTTCACTTCTCTCCTCAGCGGTTCGTTTGAATACGATAGGACCTTACAGTTCTCAGCAACTTTTGCTCCACTCAGTGAGACCGCTGGTCGAGGAGGAAGTGTCACAGAATAAGAATATGCATACCGGAATTTTGATGGACATGCATCACAATGATGCAGATAATCGACCTGCTACGACATGGCCCCTTGGCGAAATCCTCGCTGTTCGACATGATTTACAGCACTCGAGAATATTTAATAGCTGATGAGAACTGTATGTCGCTTTTTAAACTTGATGGAAGATGAATTTCCCTTATACAGCTACCTGCATGACTGCGCGAATCAGGCAGAAAGGGGAGTACAGGCACTGCGAGATTTTACTGTCAATGGATCATCAATAGTCCGTCAGAAATCCTTAGGCTCTAGTTGGGCGCACGTTGAAGACCAAGCACTTTGCTACCCTTGAACATACACTCTCGCTGTAAACTCCCCTCCTCAGTTGACGAAACATACAAGCCATGCCTCACTTGGACGATGTGAATCCATCATTCCAGCGATTGTTGTTGATGTACTCCCCTCACTATGATTTTGTTGCTGCATTCACTCAACTGCAGTAACCCAACTCCTATGTAAGAGTTGTACCCACGCACAACAGAATTTAGCGACTCAATAACTTCGTGTACGTAGCCTGCGTGCCGCATTCGCATCATCCCTTGGCGATTGATAGTCAGTATTCTCCGTAGGGCCAAAGCACATCTTGCGACCTAGAATGGGCCACTGCTTTAGGACTTGTTCTAGCATTGTTCAGTCACCCGTTGTGGAACCTGCTACCTGAGCTTCATTTAACAACTTTCCCACTGAGATCGCTCTCTCGTCCTAAGACATGCTGCTCATCCCAGTCTTACTCAACCTGACGAATATGAAATTCATACTCAACCGTTCTCAAATTCTGTCTTGTCTCCCCGGCTGTCAGGTGCGCTGGACTGCCCGAAATGCTGCACACGCTATTGATGTGAATCGGCGAGCTTTGTGGGTGTCTCGCTGCCACTCCACAGCAGCCCCGTCTGCGACTAAGCCTCATGGCCCCCCAGCCCTGCTCTGTGCACCGTCGCTCGCGGATTCAAGCTTGAACCTTCTGACATGCTGCCTGAAGCAAGATCGTCGACGGAAAATATCCCCCCCCTTCTTTACCTGCTTGATAGCGGAACCTGGTGCTTACCTTGGGATCTGCATTCCTTCCTTCCATCTCCAACCTATCACCCTCCTCACACAATTACTGAAACAATTTTGCATGCCAATGGTCGGTCTTCGGGCGCTATTGCATCTCAAGGTAACAATTTACCTCAGTGGATGACGCCCCATGGGCTTCGTTTCAGAGCTTTGAAAGTCCCACTGACTTTCCCGCGCATCGAACTCTTGATCGATCTAAATGCGTTTAGCACTGTGCAGATGGAACTGTTGACGTTCTTCTTTCGCTATTGAAGGCATACAGCGTACCACTGAAGATAAAGGCGGCTACTGGGATCTGAGACCGGAGAGGGGTGTGTTTCGTTAGATGATGGTCGTGTTATGGTGTTCTGTTCTCGTGTGCACTCTTGTGTATTTTGTCAAGGCTGAATACAGGTTGTTAAGCTGAGGAAAGATGTTATGATATAACTGATGCTATTCTGGATCTATGTAGAGACTCCCAATCAGTTGTCCCACTTCCTGTATCATATACATCTTGGCACTAAACTTTGGTCAAGACTTTGTTGCTTAGGATTCATGAACGTTAGCCATAGGTAAACCAACCAACCATAATAGTAGTCTCGGTTCCAGATTCTTTGATAGTCAAAGCTGCAGTCAGCTTAAAAGATACACGGGAGATCCAAGACAACATCCCCAATGGGATTGTCCGCCTTCATGGTTCAGTGAACACTGGAGACGTACATCTGGCATCGCCAGGGCAAATTCAAAGGTCCAATCCACCTCAATAAAAATCAATTCTAATCACCCCTTCGTGCGAAAAAAAGATGGTGACTGCAACATCTTCTGGAGTAACTACACACCAACTTGGGTCACCGAAAGCGGCTGTTCTACACAGGATTGTGAGGATGACTGGTACAGCAGACTACAGTGCACTGATACAAGCCACCCATTTTTCGCGGATGGAACCTTGGAATATCGGGAGAAGGGGGGACTTAAGCTAGGTAATCACATAAATGGCTTCAATCACAATCGAAACTAGGAATACGCACCGTTATGCTGCGGTGGTCAACGCTAATCTTGCAGAAACTTCGGCTTGGCTTCGGACCAAGTTTGCGAGGTATGTTACCATCAGAGTGTCCTGCAGTCCTGCGGTCCAACCGCCATCTTCCTCTACGCCGGTACCCAATACGTCCATAAGATACCTCCCTACAGCCTTGTCCCCTACAACCTCACCGCGCAAGACAGATTGCACATAGGCAAGTACTCTGTTGAGCATGTTTTGCACGTCTGTCAATGAGGATGCAAGAACATCGAGGTCGGTTTGGTTGGATAACGGGTTAGGAGACAACATCAGGTCGACTAAGCAAGAAATTCAATCGATGGCGTGTTGGTACACCTGATAGACTTTAACTCACGGCCACTGCGTTCTGCTTCATGGAAGCGAAGTTCGCAAGGGATTGGAACAAATACACAATTTTCGGGTTTGGGAAAGATCCCAACCGGTGAGCTAGATTGGTTGAAATAAGATCAAGGAAACCGCATGATCTAGAAGCTATAGCACGTACCTTACATATGCCTTCACTCCGGCACTCTTTCCCTCCTCTGTTCCAGTATCAAGGGCAACGTGTACCGCTTGATTTGGTGCGGTCTCTTGGGAGTAGAAATTTTGAATTAAGGCAGAGTATGTGTTTAGGTCTGAGCCAGTTGAGTACCATCCTACGATAGTTTCATTGGGCCTAACACGAGTGCAGAGGTCATACATGGCACGGTGGTAGTCCATGTCTACTGCAACCTGCTCATCGGTCTCCGAATGGAGGACAGCAAATGCAGACTTGATATCAACGGTCGAGTCTGTGCGTGTACCAAGAAGGGTACCAATGACACGATGTTGAGCATCTGTTCGCCGAAGGTAGTGGTCAAGGATCGAGAAGAGCGCGGACGGATGAATCGTTAGTGAAGTTGGGCGCGTCCTAGCAGTTCATGAGACCAACTGCATCATATGGCAAGTTTTGAATGAACTCACGAAGGTACACCATTTGTACTTGTGGAAGAATTCTGTATATACGCCGCTGATGAGGATGAGCGTATAGGCATTTTCAGAGATAATAAGTGGCTAATCTCGCTGCAGTGATCAAAAAGTCGTCGGAGTTGCAAATGAAGGGACTTGCCTTTTTCGTGGGTCCTTGAAGTTTCTTAGTTCCCGCCAGTCATCAAACATTTGCAGAAAATGCCTTCCGAAGAGACCAAGGTTCGACTAATGTCCATATGGTTGCCGTGCCCAATACTTATTGTGCTACGCAGGAACGTATCACGAAACTAGTGGAGGTTGGCCGCGTACGTTGGTTCACACCCGCGCTGAACAGGATTACTGACTCTCTGCAGACTCTGGTGCACTATGGCTGGATACCACTCATCATTTACATTGGCTATACTCGGAGCACGCCTCAGCCCACCCTTATTAAGTGCGTTGTCTCAGTGCCTCTCGTTGGCCTAGTAAATTTTTAACATATTGAACTAGGCTCATAAGCCCACTCGCATAAGGAATTACTACTTGGATGCGCACTTCCCGCTGTATTTTATAATTCAGTCTACTTAAAAAAAGTCAACTCTCTACTCAGTGATCAGGTGCTGCTGGGAGTTTGAGGTTTTATTCATCAATCCTGAGTGGTCTATCATGTGATGCCGATGGAACGTGTTTGTCGACTTAGGTAAGTTTTCCCCTTCTCCCTTTCACTTGCCAGGATTATACTCCGTGGTGGTTCTCCATGCGAGGGCCCTGAATTTCCTCCGCTTGTAACCGTTTAACTTGAACTGGTTTATTCTGTGGTACATGTCGATGGTATTAGGCCAGATATGAGCACTATGCGCGCGACTCTTTTGAAGAGCTGAAGGCTGACCACGATGCTTACTTACAGGAATAAACGAGGTAGTGTGTCATGCAAAATACAATGCGATATACTATATTTTAAGGTATCAAACGCAAGATAAAGTCCGCAACGTCACATATACACCCTTCTCAGCTCTGCGGCGCTGGTAATTCGTTGGCACATGGGGCAGAGTTTGGTTGCCCCCAGACAACGAAGCCAGCATTCACGACAACATGTGTGCCAGCATCCTGTTGATACCGTTGGCTCGGTATAGTGTGAAAGGCAGATACGGCACAGGCTGGGTGAAGATGTTGAGCCAGTGTTAGATTCCTATGATTGACTATTAGTTGGGGGTGTATATTAACTATGCCTTGAACTTACCAGAGTCCGCAACTTGTTTTCCAGAGCCAGGATCAGTGCGCTAGGGTCATTTCGTGAGCGCGCAGTGATAATGTCGAGGTCGAGTTGGTCCATCCCGATCGGTTGGATAGCATTGTTTTCTATACTATCTGCCCGCTTCAATAAGACCTTGCCCTCAACTACTAGATGTCTGAGCGTCTGTCGTTCTTGGACAGTTCCTAGATGACCATCTGTGTCGACGTCGATATCTTCATTCTCAGCGTGCAAATCTCGGTCACTTGAAGGCAAAGCCAGGACATCAGCCTCGCCAAACTGTGCCTTGCCGAACACTGCTTCATCCTCGCCATCTATGTCCACTTCATCCTCGACATCCAGTGAATTAGACGTTCGAACATGGATACCAGTGCCTGCCCATAGAGTCAGCGATAATTTATGTTGTGTCGTGACTTCCGTACTGACCTCGTAGACTTGCACTTGTAATGACCCTCGTCCTAACGCTACCCCCGCCACCACCTATATCAAGATCCTCTTCCTCATCCTGTAACCGCTCTCGCTCCAACCTAGCGCTTTCATGTACTAGACATGCATCCACATGTGCCTCAACGACATCCCGATCGCCTCTGACTACCTGTGCACACACAGGACATGACGTCCCTCCCTCAACTTCCATAATCCAGGATTCTGTTTCATGCTCCTTAGCAAGCTCTTTGAGGCGCAGATGTCGTGCTTTCCGTCGACGCGTAATGGTTTGAATAGTCTTGCCAATGGCAGAAGGAGATGTGGAGGAGGATGGGATAGAGGTGGTAAGAGATTTGCGAGCTTTTAGTGCAGAGCGTCGGGCGCGGTTGCTCGGGCTGAAATGGGTGTAATATCAATTGCTTGTGCAAGGTAGTAGCAGACAGTTAGACGCACCCTTCTTCCAAGTCATCAACTTCTGCCAAGACCTCCGCCTCACCAATATGCCGAATGATGTCTTCCACCCTTTGCATTTCAAGAGCCGCATGAGCCGCAAGCAGACGCACAGGGATCAATTCTGTACATGCCGGACATTGCCTTGTCTCTGCTCTCTTAGCTATGTGTATCCTCATTTAGTTGAGGTCACATATCGAAGAAAGTCACGTACGCACGTTTTTTCACTAGGGGCGCGATAACAGGAGCTTCCGAGTGAGTCGAAGAGAGTGAAGAAGAGCTCGGGGACGAATATCTTGCTCGTTTCTTGCCTCTGGATGCTCTCGTTCAATATACTATTAGAGCAGCGAACAAAATGAAAGCACGAACTTCATTGATCTCGGACGTCCCATTTGTAATGTCATTTTGGTGCTCAATATTCCGGGGAATACGTCCACATTATTCAGTGATGTGAGTGAAGCTGAAGCAGGTTTTGGAGGGATGGATTGCATGCAAGCAAGTTGGATGTAGCCGATCAGCTGGAAAGACATTGGTCCGATCAGATCTGAACCACGTGACTTTTGCCGTCCAGAGGTGCTGCAAGTCTTTTGTGATACATAGAATTTCATACAGCTGACCACTTGAAGACCAGGATATGCGGTTTACGTTGTACAATAATGGGTGAGATGTATTATCGAACATGCTAATTAATAATAAGTATCATACTCAGGCTTCGAAGCTTGGAGGAGTTGCATATGCACCCGTACCCGCACTATATGGCCTACGGGAAGCCATGCATGTTTTACTATACGTCAGACGAATACCACCGTTTCTTATGAGCCCGTCGAGCGTGGAGCCAGTGAGGTCGTTGAGAGACATCGTGGCATGATGTACATCCTGAAACTGCCACCGCCATAAATCAGAATGAGGCTGCGAGTGGAAGAAAACATCTTACGTCGACAAAACACATCATTCGCCCGTCGCTCTTGCGAGTGAATAGTAATCTTCTATAACCCGGGCGCAGAGAAAACAAGGCTCTTAATCGAGTTTCAAGATAGTCACCAAAATCCCCTGTGCTCCTAGGGAGATTATCCACGAAAAGCGTGTTTATGGGAGGATATCTGTGACTAGGTTTGATGTACCCTTGTCGCAACAACTCTCTAGGAGCATGAGGCACAACCGTCTTGTTCTCGGGGTCTGGGGGATAAAATGCGAAAATTGAATCCACAGAATCATCTACAGTCGGGCGTGATAACTTCGGCTGCTGCTGTCTGTGTCTCATGGGTCCAGGTAACGGTTTGGAGGGAGGACGAGAGTCTTCGTGTGCCATTAGGGGTGACTTCTCGGAACGAAATACACGGCATGTGTCGTTTGTTTCACCTGAACAATTGGCAATGTCTTTACTGATAGTGTCGACTAATTGTACAGTTGTCGGACGACTTTCCGTGCTCGAGATCGGGCGCCAGCATTCCGAGATAAGGGCCCAGTGTTTCTCTGAAATGCATGGATCATCCGGCCGAGGCGGAGTTGTTCCTACAAGCAGCTTTGCTATGATACGAAATTCAGCCATGATGCCTCTATCTGTATACCACGGAAATCTGTTAGAGAGGATCTGGGGAACATAGTCAAGTCAAAGACAACTCAGTGATAAAAGACAACTTGCCTGTAGCATCACGCTACCAAAAGAATATATGTCACTTTTTGGTGTAGGCAAATAGGAAATCTCTGGATCTCCAAGAAGCTCGGGAGCGGTCCACCGTATTGCACCGGGACGGCAAGATGACGGGGCAATCGAAGATCCACCTTCAAGTCCTCCTCCTATTACGGTAGAAAGTCCAAAATCCACAAGGCACGCCATGCCTTCTGCGTTGATCAAGACATTGCTCTACAGACCATCTAATTGAGATACAGATGCGTGTAAAAACGATTCTCTTACACCGGTGAGATCTCCGTGGATGAGAGGGAATGAGTGTACTTGAAGATACTGGTCTAAGACGATACAAGTGAACTCGGAGGAAGATGACCCACAGTAATCTAAACCAGCTGCGACATCATGAAGCTGTTGTGATTGGTGGTTCAGCTCACATCTAAAACGGCAGATAGGCCTCACCAGCCATAACTTCGATATCAGTGATAAATTTCCACCATAGGTGTCCAAGAAATTTGTCAATGTTCCATTGGGTATCCAGGGCGAAACGAGAGAGATGGTCTCGGGGGGTCCAAATCTCGCTGTTACGCCTATGAATGGCACGATATTCCGATGTTTTAATTTCATCCATATTTTGATCTCTCGACGGATTCTCTACAACGTGACGTTCAGCCTTCAATAGGAATGACGGAGAACAGATCCCACTGACCCTGATATCATCTGCGCTAGGCAGAAAACGCAAAGCCTTGACAGCAACCTGAGAAGAAATTATTATATTTTGATTGTTCAACACACAGAATTAAGGCGCTCATACTTGAATTTGACCTGATGTGGTCTGGTAGATGCCTCTGTAGACATTTCCGAAAGAGCCTCCAGCCACAGGATGGTCATCTAACCGGAGAATATGACCGGTGAGGTCTACAGGCGCTTCTACTGCTTTGTTCATTTAGTCAGGTCAGATTGAAGGACGGAGTGAGTTATGTGTGGGGCTATACTTGTATTGTGTTTTGCGGACTGGCCTAGGAAGACATGGCGCAAGAGCATCTAAGAAGGTGGCTGATGCAGTCGAAGGGTTCAGCCGAGGGAGTCAATCTCGAACAGTAACTAAAGCGGCAATGAGTCGGATAAAGTGTTCGAAGAATTGAACAAAATAGTCTCCCGAGTGAAGGCGGTGGTTGTCAATGTCATTACACCCCTTCACACAGCTAGTTTTTTGAGTCTAACCTGTTTGTCTCAATTCCTATATGGTCATGGAAACTGTGTCGTATGTAGGGGCACTGCATACCGAAAACATTTTTTAGCAGCTGCCGCATAATCTGCCGCTTCCATGCTGTCCAGTCATGATGCATGAGCTGCCATAGTGATATGGGTATCTGGGTAAAGGCGGAACACCATTGTCAGAGGCGGGAGCACCTGGTTATACAGCAGCGTAGTAGCATTGCAAATAGAGACCTGAAACAGTGAGAGGAATGAATCGAGCATACCAGTTTATGTTTATTCCAGACTTTGCTGAGACCCCACTTACAACCGGCGGGTATATGAGTATATTTATACTCTCTTGACCTCCTACGCCTACAGACGCGGGTAGTCGGACAGATCAACCACATAGAAGGCCAATACTACAGTGTGTATAAAAACCTGCAGTACGAGTTTGTCGAAATTTAGCCTTGCGGGACTAATTAGGTGACAAATGATGTTACAAAACCCCAATTAGGATGTAAAAGTCACAGCCAGGCCAAATTTTGAAAAAACTCGTACCGCAGGTTTTTGTGTAACACTGTGGTGCAAATACCTGCCTGCTCAGATTCTTAAATTCCAGCAAGCCAGAGGTTTGGTTCACATCCGAGCACCGTATTATGCTGCCACTCAAGCTTGGTGCGGTTCACGTATTGACATTGTTTCATGTATCGGGTAGAACACCTTCCTAGGTGCTTCTCGACTTTCTATTACTCCTGGATCTCGAAACTGGCAAGGATATCATCGGAGGGCAGATGTGTATTCTACAGGTGCGCGCATTTGTTCATAAGTTCGACAACGCTGACTTGCCCATGGGTGAAGCTTGAGGATGAAGACAATGAATTGTTTGTCTTACTTTTGAACCAATTTTGAACACAGGCATATTTGATCGAACTGCGCCCACCCTGTTATCAGATTCGAATACGAATTTTCCAATGCCCAATTTCCATATCCGCGCTGTGGAATG